GCCTACAAATGTCCCGGCGGGTGCCGCGTTGGGGACCACTGGTCTACGCCGAGGTTCCAATGTTAGGAATATTCCCGGCCTTTATATACTATTGGATTTACAGTAATCACACCTGTTTTGAGAACCTAACAAGATCATTGATACATTGCATATTTTCCCACATCCAATAATTAGCTTGTTGATACTTTGCATATTTTCCCAGGCCAAATAATTAGCATTATCAGGTGGGAAACATTCAGCAAAGATAGCTATGTGATCTTCCCAAGTGTTCCTGCACTCCTGTACAATGTGCATGGCCATGGGACCTGTCCCAGAACTTGTTGAAAGTCAACAGTGCATTCCTACACTGTACCATCTTGAACAAACAGCTCACTCTTAGAGAACAACAAAAGAATAATAAGAAGAAAAGAGCACAAATGGCTGCCTAGAGCATCCAGGCATAAAAGGAATGATTGTGGTACATCGCCTAATTTCCTCGACCTAACAATCGTCTTCCACATTTCCACTACAATCCTGAAATAGCTATTCTGCATCTATTGAAGCAGCCCGTTATTTCGAAATAAATTTCAAAATAATGGGAGGCTTATTTCAAGATCCTGATATCCCTTGTTCCACGAGGGTTAAGGGGCATTTTGGAATATCGAGTTATTTCAAAATAAGCTTTTTCTAGGTACGGATGTAGTGTAGACACACCCTGTAGGTTCTAGTATTCTATGATATTATGATTTTTTTTAAATGTGAAAAATCCATATACAGATCCATATATTTACATTTCTTCTGTTGTGGAACATCACCATTCTTTTCCCTATTAATGTAGAAGATTTGAATCATTAAGGAGAGTTAGGGTACTGAAGAAAGATATAGACACACTCAACATTACAAAAACAAATTAACTAACCCTCAAATATGGAGATGCTGTCTTGGTAACATGCTGATGTAAGAGACCGGGACTGCAATTCCTGTTTAAATCAGAACAAAAAATAAGTTTGCACTGCATTGTTAAAGCAACTGGGTTTCAACACTGATGTTAAGAGTTAGTTTAGCACATGCGCCTATTAAGTCTGCAGAAATGTAATGTTGAAATGGATGGATTAATGAGCACTGTTCAGATTAGCTGCTTTGCTGTTTCATGCCCGTCTTCCCTGGGTATGTCTACAATACAATTAAAACTCCACAGCTGGCTTTGCCAGCTCACGGAGCCTGGGCTGAGGGGCTGTTTAATTGCAGTGTAGACATTTGAGCTTGAGCTGCAATGTGGGCTGTAGAACCTGTGAGGTGGGCAAGTCCCAGAGCTCAGGCTGCTGTATGAGCCTAGAGATCTACACTGCAGTGAAAGAGTTCCCCTACAGCCCTAGCCCTGAGCCCAAGCCAGCTGTGGGTATCTAACTGCAATGTAAGCATACCCTTTAATGTGCTACTTTGGAAGAGACCATGAGCAACTGTGAATTTCTTACATAACAATCCCCCTTTTTAATCAGACACAAAAGAAATCTCTGGCAATGAAAATGTATATTTGGATAGCTTTCAACTAACTAGCACGCAGCTTTCTATATACCTCGTAAGGCAATGCTGTTTTAAACATTGTTGATGTTCTGAGACCAAAAATACAATATTCTGGTTGAAAGTTAAGGAATAGGAATTTAGGGCAAAACGTATTATTCAGCTGTGAGCTGCTAGACAATATTGATTTCCTGTGGTTCGGCAAATTCTCTGGTTCATCACTGGTCAGGTCCCAAGTGTGCCAGACTAAAGAGTTCAGCCTTTACAGGAACTGAACTATGTTTTTGTGGGGAAAGCTTCTGAACAAGTATAACAATGGAAGAACTTAACCAAAATAAACCACTGTCATAACTATCAGCATATCAGAGGACACGGGCTGGTATAAACAAAGTAGTGCAGTATTGGTATATTTAGCTGTAAAAAAAAAAAAAGCCATTTTAAGGCTTCATAGGGATTAATGATTGTTTGAAGATTATGCCATCCTTGACATGCCCCTGTTTATGTTGGGCATTAAATTATGCTTTAGTCCTAGCATCGCAAGTCAAGGTGTAAACAAACCCAATTGCCCAAGTTTAACAGGCTACGGTAGTTCAGATGCCAAGGTGAGGAGTGTAGCCTAGATAGCTAGAGAGAAAGAAACAAGCAAGATGAAATAGAGGGTAGAAAATATGCAGACCTATCAAATGTTTGTGTAACTGAATCATCTGTCATTAGCCATTACAAATATCAAGTATCACAATGCAAGTTTTTCATTCATTTCCCCCTGCAGTGACCGATGTTAGATTCCAGCTATTGAAAAAGCCTGTTTGCACCAAGATATCAGATAAAGCATGGGTAGCTTGGGCACTTCAAAGGAATTGAAAGAGAAGGGTTTGTAAATCTTATAGTTGAATCCCTTATTATTTTAGAAATATGTCTGTCTGTCCATCCATCCACTTGTTCAAGAACTCCTCCTAAATGGTAAAAGCTAGGGCCACCAAATTCAGTATGCAGCTTCCTCTTATAACTTAAAGCAAGGTTTAGGATTATTCTGTTTCAAGAGTAATGACATGTTTAATTTAGAAACTAGACAACCTGCTTAAAGCAAAGCATTTAAAGCAAAAGCTTTGGAGAGAAAACATCCAAACAACAAACTGAATGCAAGGCTAATTTTCCCTCAAGAAGAGCCATTCCTGGAGCCTAGGAAGGCCCATCTCCTTTTGAGACACTCCACAGAACATCTGTCAACCTGTCTTGCTAGAAGCTTCTGACAAGTGAAGACACTCCTTCCTGCCTGAAAAGCACTTAACTCTTTAATGTTTTGGATCTCCAGGCTACTAGCCCGGATAAAGCTTGAATCTTCTTTGAAGACAGGGTCTTTGAAGTCAATAGCTTACTTCTCTGCTTTTCAATTTTGTAAAAAGGGGGGAGGGGGAGAGAACCTCTTTACCTAAAGCTATTCTCATGTTGCTTTCCAGTTTGTTCTTCCCACAGACTAAGTTAGCTCAAGTCCCACAGGAAATTCCAATAAATTACTAGAGTTACACAGTAACTTTACCTCACTGATCATGTTACTTACACTATGAAGGCCATTATTACATATGAGTATTCAGAGATAGCAGCATCAATCTATCACAGGCTGGCCTATAGGATTGACATAGAACCAATAGTGCTGATGCTAAAAACATTATGAAATAAAGTCACAGGACTGGACCTTAAACCCATGACCCTCACAGTGAACCACGTTTAAGGTCATGCTGGGATTCTAAGCTTGGCAAACAGCTTTCAAACTTGATTGTCTACAGCTGAGCTCCTACATTCATTCATGTTCAGGCACCAACATGGGACCTGATTTTCAGAGTTTCTGAAGTTCCTCATGGAGCCAGGGAGAGAGGTGTGTGCAGACCACTTTCTATAGGGGTTCAAATAATGGAGTTAGACTCCTAATTCTAGCCATAACTCCTCTGGCTGTTTTTTCTTATCTGAAAATGAGAATATTTGCTTTAGCCACATGGCACAATGGGCACTGAATAAGATAGAGTACTGCACTTTGGAATATTGAGCAATAGAATGTGTAGGTTGCACATTTACCTTCATTTCTGCAGTATCTCATTTGAGTCTTCATAGCACTGAGGTGTAACTGGGCCCACTTTATACTAGGATAGTACCCACAGATCCTAACCCGGACATAGGCCATATTTTATGGTACACTGAACAAACAAGTGGACAATCGATCCCTGACTTTCCAATACATGACATTACTGCATCACACTGACACTAATGGAAGCTTTGTCATGACAAAAGGCAGACTCCTAAAGCAATATGGAAAAGTCCAGATTAGACCATTCAGATGAATGTAGTGTATTTGCTGGTTCCATAGTAGTGCATATAAAGCTTCCATCTGAAGTGGGACTTTCAAACAAGGCATTCATTAAAAAAAGAAACAATTTTTTAAAGCTTTAACAGCAACAAACACAAAAGGGCCCCAGAGATTGATTGTGGATCCTACAATAAAAGAAATAGGATAATTCAATTTTACGCATGTGGATATAAGCACTGGATTCTGTTTTGTTACTGATCAACACCTAATAGTCTAGAAATAAATTGAAGCATTTTTCCTTTGTAACTCACCAATCTCTTATATATTGGTTGCATGAAAAGTTGTACTACTTAAATCTAAAAAGGTTCAGATCCCTAGTGTAAGTCATGTAAGTTTCCAGATAGATTTTCATTTCATAGTGTCTCAGGTTTTTAATGGAGCATATGGATTTATACATCCAGTTTTACAATTCCTTCTGAAGTCTTCTTGGAATATAATGTACAAGTTGCATTGATATAGATGCAGTTTCTCTGCCATTAAATACATGTATGATAAAATAACAACTGATGCCATAAGATTATCTCAACCGTTGTCAAGATTTTTATTTCTTAGCTAGCGTCAAACTTCAGTCTCAAAAAAAAGAACATACGAGATAGTATTGCACTAGGTCCTCCGAAACCATTTGTACAAATAAGCAGAATGCAGCAAATCAGTCTTCATCAATTGGCTTTGGGATTTGGTTGACACCTTTTGCTGCTTTACAATATGTAAAATCTATTCCTGCATTGCTTCCAGTGGGAATTCTCTGAGTAAAGAGGGCTGGATTAAGTAGCAACATAGAATTCATAACAATCTGTAGTTTAAGCATAAAAATAAATGTGGCAAAAGCCTGCTAGTTACAGCCTTATATATACACATATTTAAAAAAAAATTTCAAAAGAATAATTTTTCATGATTATCCTTTTCTAGGCTGCAGTATTAAATGAACTATCTAAAACAAAACTAAAATACTTGGCATCAACGTCTAATTACACACTTTTTCCTTAGGAAACCAGCCCCAATGTAGGTGATATATGGAGTATAGTAAGAAAGACATCTATTCTCCATGTAAAGCACTCTCTCACTAGGAAGATCTAGTGCTTCAGACTGCTAATGCTGCATTACCAACATTAAGTTTTCCAATTGCTGGGCTAGAACAAAGGGCAAGGAACAATATATATAGTAAATAAAATATCTGTTGCAAGCAGGATATTGTGATGACAAGAAAATTAACCTGATTCATTAAAACTGTCCCCTATGTGACATACAAACTATTTGTTTGTCATTTACTTTGCTTAGATAAAAGTCCAGTGCCTAGCTCAATTTCTTTCAGTGTTCCAGAAGTTACAAGCAAACGGTGCAGTTAATGGTCAGGATGATTCACTTGTTCTGATCTTTTTAGTTTCTCTCTGAGATTCAGGCTGCAATTCTTTTCTTTTCTTCTTCTGCTGCTGCTGGAGTCTTTCCTCTTTCTTTTGTAGATAAACAGCCATGTTGTCAAACGAGGCCTTGTAAAGACTGCTGTAGCAGCTTTCTGTCCCAACAGAACCTGTGACAGGAAAAACAAGACAATATGGGTACTCAGAGCACTGTTCCCAACTACTTCTTGCACTGAAATTTTAAATGTATTCCTGACTCCTATAATTCTGCATTATAATTCTAGACATCTTAATGCACAACATTTTTATTGTTTAAATGTGGCAAGACACTCACAAATATCACCACAACAGCCATATACACAAAGGCCAAGATTTTTAACAATCACTTAATGTTAGAATTCAAAATCCATACTTAAGCCTGTCTGACTTTTCAAGAGTACAGAGCACCCAACAGTGTTTAGTTTAGTATTCCCTGCACTCTTTTAAAAAGAAAAGACATTAGAAAAATTCAGACTGGACATTATGAAATAAGCACACAAACACCGTCTTGCACTGACCAGTGCAGGTTCTGCCACTCCTTTGTGAGATTTTTACAGTACACGCCAAGTGTCCTTATCAAGGAACACCCATGGTTCAGAGGAGGAAGTGATTCTGTGAGCTGTTGCTCCTGCTGCCCACCTCCAGCTAGAGCAGGCATGTCCAAAGTCCGGCCCGCGGGCCAATTGCGGCCCGTGTTCGGATTTAATACGGCCCCCGCTTCCTCCCTCTCTCCTGGCTCCCCGGTGCTCTTTTGAACTGGCGTGCCTAGCGCGCCGCTTCCGGCCGCACTGCCGCCGCCCATGGCCTCCGCGGTCCTAGAGCCTGCCCTGTAGGGCACGTCCGCAGCCCTGCTCCCCCGCTTGGCTGTGGGTTCGCCCTGCCCCCAGGCCGCCGTGAGGCTGGCGTGCCCTGCGCTCTCCGCCCACCTCTGACCCTGCGGGCCCTCCGCCTTGGGGCTGAGAGTGCGGGGACGGCCCTCACGCATGTTCACTTCTTCAAATCTGGCCCTCTTTGAAAAAAGTTTGGACACCCCTGAGCTAGAGGAATGGTAGCATGCAGAATGGCTTCCCCTGAGGTTTTTCCCAGCTGCTTCCATAGCAGCAGGGGATGGTGTCTGGGAGCAAGGAGCCACCTGTGGCCCGGGAGCAGGGCAGCAGATAACCTCCCTCCCTTCTCCCACCCAGACCCTGGCAGCTGCCCCGGCAAAAACTTTAATCTGACATACCCTGTTTCCCAGGGTTGCTGGATTAAAGAGGGTCAAAGTGCACATCCTTCTGCTTAAATGTACTCTTACAGCAGGACACATATGATCCCTGTAAAATGCCTGAACAGTTAGATAGATTGGAAGGTTACTCTGGGGAATACAGACTAAAACTGGCAGGTGAGGAGTTTTGTATTTCAAGAAGCAGGTAGTAGAGGGTGGTCTAATTCACATCTGGGATTCCTTCTTAATCAATCTCCACTTCTGCCCCAATCCTTTCCACCACCTAACTTATCTAAAATCTTTAAGTAAAAAGAGAAACAGACAGGTGTGGACAGGAAAAACAGGGAAATTAGTGAGTAAACAATTAAGTTACATATCAATTGTATTTTCCACTTGAATACATTTAGGGTTTGCTGAATCTCTTTTCATGGGTAATAGTTTATTCAATTTATCATTTAAATACTGATCTTCTGCTTCTATAATCTTAGGTTACAAGAGATCTTACAGATTCCATGATCTCCAGCTGTCTAAGGGAGGAAACCACACAAGCAATCTCATTGTTTTATCAAGAAGGGTAAGTACCTTTTTTTTCATAATCTGTAAAAGCACTAATTACACAGCTGGAATAGGTGCTCATCAACGGAGCCACCTCTTGTTAATTAGCTATAATAATCACTATGCTCTGAATAGTCCTCCTTTCCCAGCTGCATATATCCAGAGACTCTTATAACACATTATGGTAATTTTGCTGTGCTAGAAAGTAACTCTGAATAATACAGAAATATAGAGGAAAACAAGTGAATTCGTTCTCACTCGGGATTCTGCTTTTAACATGGATATACCTTGAAATGTCTGAACTGTATAAAACACAGCATTATGAACATAACTACTTTCTAATGGATGCAGAAATCTACTTTCAGATATTAAGCCCAATTTTAATGGAAATGGGATATAAGATATTTTCTCTTGTTAACATCTAATCTGGGGAGTATTAGAGAAAATACCTTATTGTTAACATCTAATCTGGGGAGTATTACATTTCATTTTACAGAAATTCTGACAAATTACCTGGGTTGATAATTTTCCTGAATATATAATGGTCCTGTATACAGTGGAGTCCGGATTATCCATCACCCAGTAATCCAACACTCCACTTTATCCAACTCTGCAACTCCCAGGGATTGTGCCCCCAGGAGCTGCAGGGTCAGATACACCGTGGGCTGGGAGAACGGTCCCGTTAGCTGCCACGTCGCTCCAAGGGAGCAACGGGACAGCTGATGCCGCTCCTGCCGGGGAAGAAGCGGCCCTGCCAAGAGCAGCATCAGCTGCTCCATTGCTCTCTACAGCAGAATCTCTATCATCCGACATATTCAGTAATCCGACCATGTGTCGGTTCCGTTTAGGTTGGATGATAGGGACTCTACTGTACCTCCTTTTTTGAGGCATAAGGGATCTTGTGCAAAACGGCCCCATCTACACTGCTTGTTTTTGCACAAAAACCTCTTCCACAAAAAGCATCGGCAGAGAATATGCAAATGAGAGCATGACAAATACTAACGAGCACTTAGTTTGCCTTGTCTCTGCCGACAAAAGGCTGCAGTGTAGACGTAGCCTTAGTTTCACATTCAGGAAAGAGACAAGAGAAGAGCATTCCAGGTCAGTGCAATAAGACAGATGCTCTTGTGGTTCTTTATTAACGTATGTGTATGTCCAAAACATTTATAACACACCAATGCTGATATGTGGACAGCTACATCACAGTTAAGTGTCTGTAAACACTTGGAAAGTGGCAAGGTGATAGGGAACAGCCAGCATGAATTTGTAAAGAACAAATTGTGTCAAACCAATCTGATAGCTTTCTTTAATAGGATAACGAGTCTTGTGGATAAGGGAGAAGCGATGGATGTGGTATACCTAGACTTTAGTAAGACGTTTGATACAGTCTCGCATGATATTCTTATCAATAAACTAGGTAAATACAACTTAGATGGGGCTACTATAAGGTGGGTGCATAACTGGCTGGATAACCGTACTCAGAGAGTAGTTATTAAAGAATCCTGCTGGAAAGTCATAACTAGTGGGGTTCCGCAGGGGTCTGTTTTGGGACCGGCTCTGTTCAATATCTTCATCAACGATTTAGATATTAGTATAGAAAGTACGCTTATTAAGTTTGCAGATGATACCAAGCGAGGGGTTGCGACTAATCTGCAGAATAGGGTCATAATTCAAAATGACCTGGACAAATTGGAGAAATGGTCTGAGGTAAATAGGATGAAATTTAATAAAGACAAATGCAAAGTGCTCCACTTAGGAAGGAACAATCAGTTTCACACATACAGAATGGGAAGTGACTGTCTGGGAAGTATTATGGCAGAAAGGGACCTAGGGGTTATAGTGGACCACAAGTTGAATGAGTCAGCAGTGTGATGCCATTGCAAAGAAAGCAAACATGATTCTGGGATGCATTAACAAGTGTGTGGTGAGCAAGATATGAGAAGTCATTCTTCCACTCTATTCTGCGCTGGTTAGGCCTCAATTGGAGTATTGTGTTCAGTTCTGGGCACCGCATTTCAAGAAAGATGTGGAGAAATTGGAGAGGGTCCAGAGAAGAGCAACGAGAATAATTAAAGGTCTAGAGAACATGACCTATGAGGGAAGGCTGAAGGAATTAGGTTTGTTTAGTTTAGAAAAGAGAAGATTGAGGGGGGATATGATAGCTGTTTTCAGGTATCTAAAAGGGTGTCATAAGGAGGAGGGAGAAAACTTGTTCATCTTGGCCTCTGGGGATAGAACAAGAAGTAATGGGCTTAAACTGCAGCAAGGGAGGTTTAGGTTGGACATTAGGAAAAAGTTCCTAACTGTCAGGGTGGTCAAACACTGGAATAAATTGCCCAGGGAGGTTGTGGAATCCCCATCTCTGGAGATATTTAAGAGTAGGTTAGATAAATGTCTATCAGGGATGGTCTAGACAGTATTTGGTCCTGCCATGGGGGCAGGGGACTGGACTCTATGACCTCTCGAGGTCCCTTTCAGTCCTAGTATTCTATGATTCTAGTTAGAGTAGTTTCCAACTGGAGAACTGTTGCCCACTTTAGAAAGGCTGAACTTTCAGACTGCTGTGAGGCAGACAAGTATTAGTTCTACATGGAGAAGGAAACCAAATCAGAAGTTCAGGATATGTCTATACCGCAACTGGGAGCGAGCCTACCAGCCCAAGTGGACAGACTCATTCTAAGGGGTTTGAGCTAGTGTGCTAAAAACAGCAGTATGGATAGTGTGCCATGGGCTGCAGCTCAGGCTCATGTCTATGCGACCCCCTAGGGCTTGAGCTGAGCCACAGCCAGAACTTCCACATAGCTAATTTTGGTGCATAAGTTCAAGCCCCACTAGCACAAGTCTGTCTACCTAGTGTGGAGGGTTCACTCCCAGCTTCAGTGTAGACATGCCCTAAGCGGTTTGTCCATAGCCAGAAGGAGAGGCATGAACAGAACTCTGATACGACTCCATTCCTTGTGCTTTAACCCATGTCACATTCCCTGGCCTTTTTGACCAAGTTGCTCACCTTCAAACATTGTCCAGTTGTCGTGCAGGTATTTTGACATTTTCATTAACCCTCTGTCATCAGCAACAGGCTGGGAAAAGAAAGAAAAGAACACTTATTCACACTGCTCCTCATGAGCAATCAATCACACTTTGTACATGCATTTCTCAGTGCCCTGGTTAATGCAAAGCCTCAACCAAGTCTCATGACAAAAAGGGAGAATAAAGAGAACACCTTTCCTTCCCAAAAACTCATCACCGAGGCCTGGCAAGGGATCACCATGTTCTGCTTACAGCAGCCTGGAAAGCAGAGCTTGCCCAAGGATTTAAAGGAAAAGTGGGACTCAAAGAGGTAAAGAAATAGGGGAAGAGGTAAAGGTCCAAGAGCTTTCCTACAATACACAACTCTTCTTAGATTTACAAGGGTGATGAATGTATTGCCTGGATGTCTAATGGCTACTATAGGGAATGCAACTTTGGTGATTCAGTTCCCAATGGAACTGTAACAGATACTAAAAGGGCCACCGCTGTTTGTTCCCTCCTCACAGCCTCTCCTTTTGAGATAGATACAGAAAAGGTTGGGCAAGGAGCACTCTTCCTCAATTGTTTCTTTCTTTTTTAGCTCCCTCTTCCTGAAGGCCACTAGTAGAATCTATATCTTACCACCATGGTCAGGGACGAAAGAACTTTAGAAAGCGAGTCAGCACATTTTTCACTGGGATGGATGGACGCTATGTAGTTTTCCTGAGCTGTAGCCCTACACCAGTGTGTCACACTCTTCAGCATGGAAACTGACACTCGTCCCATAGAGTCAGTTGGCTCCTGGGACAAGGTGTGGGTGCAGACTACGGCCAAGAAATACTACTGCTCAGCCTAGTAGGAGGAAGGTTGAGAGTCTCATTCTTCAGGCAGACAGCTCCTCTTGCTGTTCCTATTTGAAATTCCCACTCCTAGAAAGGCTTCACCACCAGCCAATTAGGAGAGAAGCAGTTTTTCAAAACCATGGAAGAGCAGGAGCTCTCACTGGGATTTTGGAAAGAGAAGTAGCTGTGCTCCCCTATGTTCCTTTTTAGTTTAACTACTGGGTTAGGGTAAGAAGATGGTGTGGGAAGCTGAGGAGGCCTTCCAACCAGGAAAAAATTCTGAGAAGAGTGTATAAGGGCTGTTTTTAATAGAGTGAAATTAATGTTTAAGAGCAGAGACACTACTTTAAGGCTAGGAACCATTGTGGAGATACCTCAGTACCGACTCTTCTATGGCGGACCTGAGCATCTTGAGCTGAGACTGCCAATCATGCTAAATTCTGTGTTTTGCACCAACTAGGGAAATAAAACAAATCCATGTCTGATCAGATGCAGAATGGATCTCAATTCAAGAGCCAGAGCATTAAAGCAATTGTGCCATTCAATTTTCACTCAACTCTTCTGCCTTTTGCTGAGGAGACTTGAGTAGACCCAAGATATTGCAACTGTATCAGAATACATCTAACCTGCCACTGTCCATTCACAGGCCTGTAGAGTAAAAGTGGTGCTTCTTTGTCCTCCTGTAGTATCCAGAGCCCACCTGATTCCTCAAATACAACGTCCCAGCCTTTATGCTTCAAAGAGATCTGGTGTTTGTAATCTAACAGCTGGGTAGCAGCATCCAACTGGAAGATGTAAACTGTAGGAATACTTTAAAGAGAAATAAAACGCAATTACCATTATCACAAATCCTGCCTAGAGCTATCACTTGTGCACAGTACATGATATCTACCCACTCCAAAATTAGTCTGGAGTAAAATCAGCAGCATTTAAAGCACAAATCTTAAAAAAATAGACTGTTTATTTACAACCCCAGAGGCTAAAGTGAATTGCAGATACAGCAGAATTTAATATTTCCATCCAAAGGTTACACTAATGAAAAAAAATCATTCTGAAGTGTTTCTTCCAAGGTCAGACTATTTTAAAAAGAAGGCTAGCAAAAAGAGGAAGCCTCATACTACTAAAGAATATTTTCTCTGTATCAGTTGCACAATTTATGTTAGAGTTCACAACCTGAAGGATAATTAAAGAGCATCAGCACAAATAAAACAGGATAAGAGCACTAACGGGTGTGTGTGTGGGTGTGGGGGGGACAGAATGTAACTAAGGAGAGTCAAGAAAATGGGCTCTGTACTGGAGGCCCAACATCTATTCCCCTGCATCCACGATCTCCACGTACAAAACTTCTCAAGAGCTGTTAAGCCCAGCAGCAAATATTTCAGTTCAAATCACAGGAACAAGGCTCCTGTGCTGGCACACGAGAGAGTCACAAAAGGGGGAAGTGCCTCCATGGTGGAACTGTTGCTTCACACACAGGCAACTTAGGGTGTTCTCCTCACCATACCCAAGCCTGTGTGCTGGATAGAACTCCTATTATTAAACTTAATAGGCAACGACAGCCTGGGAGCTGGGTGGCAGGGCGACCTAGCCTCAGTGTTCATATCACAGAGTGCTAGTGGCAGAACAGCCCTTTAACTGTAGTTCTTCACGCTGTTTTACATTATCAGTTCACCTGCACTGACTCCTGACCTATAGCACAGTAAAGACTGGACTCAGGCCAAAAGGCCTTTGGGAACTGTTCCACTATATCTTGAACTTGAGAGTAGCTAGAGTATATATGGACTGTATAAAACATTGCAAGGGTTTTGAGCTGCCTCTGTTTGAATTGATACTGAGAACATTCAGAGCCCTCGCAATGCTCATGCTAAAACTCATGATGAAACCCCCATTCTTTTGGAGAGCTCACAACAAGACAGCCTCTTTAAATTCAGAGAGTCTGAAACACCCAACTCCAGATGTCTAACTATCTGTCCTTTCTTTAAAGCTATAATTTTAGCAACCGTTCCTCTTTATTCTTACCAGTCGCACAGAATGGCAATGAAATTTCCTTGACAACAATAGGCAAGTCTTGACACGGTGTATTTCTGACAGGAGGGAAAAACATATAATTATATCTTGACACACTTGGGGTGGGAGGAAATTTAGGATTAATTTAGGAATCCAATCTATGGAACTTCATGGGAGCTCCATTTAACAATCATTTAGTCAAGCTTAAGTAGATAGCGAGACAGTAGTCCTTTCCCCCCCAAAAAATACCACACTTTGGCCTTCTGTACACCCCACCTTCCAAAATGGTTAGTATAAATGCTTAAATAATTTAATCCAACATGAAGTAAGCAGTCTCCTGAGAGACCCACAGTGGTGCAGCCTTAAGGAAATATAGTAGCATCTTTTTAGCCTTTAAGGATTGTGAATTGCAGAGGAAATATTCACATATTTTAAGTGTCCTTAACCAGAATGCCACCCTATTGGTTCGTAGGTTACATATAACGGGAACAAGGTAGAGACCATGTCTGGTGTAAAAAGCAAATGCACTGATATGTAGCCAATGTTTTTGTAAAGTGGGCTTGATTTCACCCTTTGATAAACAAGGCATCCAGGGGGATGTGTGCTGTAAGAAGAAAGATGGAAATAGCTAGTTTCAACAGAAGCACTAATAACCAAGAAAGGAGGTAGTTTTACAGACATAGCTATAAAATGCCTTTGCTTGAAAATGCCCTACCACCCACGTAAAAGCTATACAGAATATAATGCCATGCTCCACATGCAGCAAGTTTGTGTAACTTGATTTGTGGGTGAGTAGTAATGAAAAACCTGCTTTTTTTTTTTTTTTTAAAAAAAAGCAAGAATTCTGCCTGGGGTATTTTAAAAACAAAAACAAAAACCCACTCATGACTCCCAATGCAAAAACTTGCTCTATTGCATTTTTAAAGCCCTGGAGAAGTCATCTCTGGAAGGAATAGCTCAACTCCAGCAGACCAAGGAAATGAATCCACTCCTTCCTTCACTATGGTGGCAACATGATAAAAGGAGCTTTTGAGCACCTCTGCTGGCACAATACTGGGTGAAGGGTCAGTCACTGCATGGTCCCTCATTAGCCATGGCTGTGAGCTCAATTTAGGGGCAACCACAAGGTTCCTACTTCTTGAGCTAGCTGTTGGAGTGCAGGCAGTACCCTAGAACTAATGACTGGACATGTAATCTGGGGGAGGAAGCAAGGGCTGTGTTGCTTGTCAACATCAAACAAGTGTAATGCAAGATGGTAATCCCTCTTGCCCAGAGAAGCACATTCATCTAGAATTGTTATTTTTATAGCCTGCGGCTTATAGAGAGGCAGAAACAGCCAGAAAGAAGGTTACACGGTGGCATCTATCCATATCTACACCCTATTAGTGCTGTAAAATATCTTAATTACAGAGTAAATAAAGAATGCATTGTGCAGTGCCATCTCTAAGCTGAAAATAAAAGCCAGGCAGCATGCACTTTCCTTCTCTGATTATCTGTTTGGACATGAGGGGAACGTTTTCTAAAGGTCACTATCAACAGAGAAATAAATTTCAGAGCACTTGAGAACAGATTGGACTGGTCAGTTGCTGCTCTGCAGAATCAATTATTACATGTTTACAGATGGGAGCCAATCCTTCAGTACAATACATGGGTACTAAATCACTCAGGGTTAAAGACAGTGGAAAGATGTGAGGGTGAAGAGGTCTGGTGAGAGAATTATTGCAGCTATCAAGAACTACTCCATAGTTGGGTAAACAGAACTAGCTACATTGTAATTCTGTAGACATGACTGCTTCCCTTGTTGCCAAACAGCAGTAGTGGGCTCTCTAGACCATTGTTTCTCAACCAGTGGTACAAGTACCGATAGGGGTACTTGAGAGAAGTCTGAGGGGGTCATCAACACAGCTGAAATTTGGAGAAAACTGAATTGTTTATAGTTTTACAGTGTTTTATTATTTTTGTACTTTTTACACCCAAAAATGTCATCGCCTGCTTAAACCAAATGTGTTGCAATGGTTAAAAAAAACTGTTGTGGGTCTGAAAACGGTACATACTGGGGTTACTTATATATATAAAATTTTGGAAAAAGAGTAGTGTTTCTCAACTTTTTTTTATAAACCACTCTGGACATTAAAAAGAGAGTTGTAAAATCTATATCTCCTTCAGCACCAACTTCTATCACACAACTTGTAGCATAAGTGATGCTAACAGACAGGATAGGCAGGGTACACTTTGGTTGAAGATACAGAAGGGCCACTGGTACTACATGCCCAACAACAGAGTCAAATTATCAGTTTGGTAGGGTTTTTTTATGGACATGAAATGATATCTAGTAACTTATTTAATTGTGGAATAAAATGCAAAAAACATTTTGTTCACTAGGCAAGCCCATGGGACCACTGAACCTAGTAAAAAGATAACTGTACAAAACCATTCGCAGTAAACAGATGTCACTCTGTACTTCAGCCAGCCATCACCTTAAACTTAACCTTTTAAATTCTGTTAAGAAACTGTGACCCTGTGAAACATACTAGGTAGAGTTGCACAATTTCTGTTTTGGCCTTTACACAAGCTTCTCAAAACAAATGGATCAAACCAGGTGAATGCTTGGACTGCTAAAATTATCTAGACCATGCCCACACTACTATGGGATTTGTTCCCTAACATCAGCCTGAGACCAGTTCTACATCACTTCAGCACATCCATATATTTCCCATGACAAGTCTATTGGGCCTGATGGAAGGTGAAAACAAATCAATTCTTGTGCGCATATGCACTGCCATTACATTAAAACATGATTATAATAAAAAGAAATTCAATTCACTCATCTCACAGGCTTCACTGAACCTATAGTAGACACAAATAGTTTAAGTCATTAAATGCCAGAAGAAGCAGCAGAAAAAACAAGGGCATCCCATGTGATTTCTCTGCTCAAAGACATTGCTAGCTAATGCACCAGCTACACTTTGTAAAATGATGATGGAAAAAGCAGAGTAAGAATAAGGCAGGAGAAAGTGAGATTATTGCTTTACAGAATACAATGACAGTCATTATCCTCTGAAGCTACTGCCTCCACAAGAAAGAGAAATAACACAGTTTCAGCGACGACTTCTTCACTACTTCTGACACTGAATGCAATGTCAAATTTCTGAACCATGGGCTCTCTTCTGGTCCTTAGTCATGGGCTAACAAAGAACATATTCTTTATGAGACTGAACTGTTTGAATGTTGAGAACTTGCAGGCAAGGAGTTTAATACATGTGTATTCATTGAGGACCACGCAATCATAAAAAAAAATGTTTGGTATGTTAGCAGCATGGTATATTGTAGCGTGCACTGTGCTGCTGAGAGTAGGAGACAAAAATTGAGTCTGGTTTGACCAGTGTATTAGTATACATAATTAAAGCAACAATACAGCAGTGTTTGAAGCCATCGACTTTGAAAGCTTATTGACTGACTCCATCACACAAGCATGGAACCAATCCAAGGCTAGCTTTACAGAGGAGATGGGAAAAGGCTTCTTCATTTGTGAGAATTTGGATTACGTAGAGGTCTCTCAGATTCAAGAAAGAGGTCAACCTGAAGTGATGTTGACTTTCAATAAACCATTTTTCCTTGCACGCTGAATAGTACAAGAGTTGTAAAATAATGCTAGCTTGCAGAGATCTCACATACAAGTTGCAGATAAGTTTTTTGGAGGCTTTCTTATTGGTGGGCAAGTTTCATGCTATTTCTCTGACACAGAAGCACATATTAATAACCCTTTCACAATATTGAGAAAGCACTTTCCAAATAAAGATCCCAAAGCTCTTGACAAGCTTTGGCCTCATCCTAGAGTTCTTCCACCCACTCAACTCCCAGTTAAGTAGATGGAAACGTGCATGTGGGCCTGTAGAATCAGGCCATACATAGACCACTTGAAAGCGGCAAACCTTTAAAGAGTGCCTTACACTTAGCTGTGAGGAGAAAGTGAAGAATACCTTCTCCAACTGAAACTATAGGGGATTATTAGCAATGTAGTATTACATCACTTAGATTCTAGCCTGAACACTCGAGTAGGAGTGCCCTAGGAGAAAACACAGTCACAAGTGGCTCATCCCTCAAGTTTTATCCTAAAGTCACTATCCAGAAACCATCCAGAAAAGCGTCCCCTATCTGATTCATAGGTTAGGAGATCAAGCACTTATCTCAGTGAAAGCTAGAACAGCTAGGCACTCGTATATAAAAAAAAACAAATCTACCAAGCAAAAGATGGCTTCCCACAGTTATGTAACACATGGATGACTGAACAGGCTAAGTGGTAGCTGGCTCAGATGCAATGCAGATGGCAAGGACAACACTGTGCTGTTCCAGCTGCTAGTATGGAACAAATCATGTGTGGAGGCAAGAGTGGGTAGTACCAGATCCAAGAGTTTTCAGTACAAATTAAAATATACTTCAGAGTTTCAATTTTCAGTAAGTCAATACTTCTGGTAATTGTTACAAACATTTTGAAACATTCTGCTCAACTATAACTTTGGAGGATGCTAAAGATATATTTGTACTAGTCTCAAAGTGGCTACGTTAGACTTTTAATTTCACTCAGGGCTGATGAAAGAGACTTTAATGGGCCCTGATGGGAGCTGGCTCCGGCATCCTCAGAAGGCGCAGGGTCTTGGGGCGCAGCTGGGGGGGGGGAGGGTGGATTAGCTCTCCCCCACCAGCCTTACAGCACCACCTGGAATGCACCACACAGGGCTCGGGCAACAATTTGAAGGGCTTGGGGCTCCAGCCACTGCAGCTGTCAAGATAGCAAAAGCAGCCAGAAGTCCCTGGCCCCCAGTCAGCTGCCCCCTTTGGCCTCTCTTCCCCAAGCCCACCCCCATTGGCGGCTCTGGTTTCACTAGATGTTTCTGTTAATTTTAGGTTCAAGGGCAAGCTTTGTATAAACAGATTAATTAAAAGCTTCATCTTACTTTCAAACACCAATCTTGGGAGAACTGCAGAAAGTTCTTTTGAAATACAGGGTGGCATTTTTCAGAAGTGCCTACAAGTGTCCAGAAAGCAATTTAGTGCCCAAAAAGGTGTTCTTGCTTGCAGCACATTAATTGGCTGCATGGAACCTATTACCATCCACTAATAGTTTTGTAATGCACTTTGACCTATCGCATTTCCAGTCAAAGTGCACTGCAGAACTTTTCATGCACAATGGCAGGGTTCACACAGTTAGTGCAAATCAAAGTGCTGCAGATTTACAACCCAGCTTCTTACACACTAAATTGCTCTGAGGACAAGTCCTTTATGATTTATGAGCACAAATTCTGTTCAGTTCCAGTGAGATTTATGTTCCTAAATTACTTAGGTATTTTTGAAAATCCCATTTTATGAACTGTGGTCTCTAGAATTTACACAGGATCTCCCACCCACCACCATAAGAGAGAGTCGATGGAACTTCCATCGACTACTGCATTAGTCGATAAGGGGGGAAAACTACAGAGCGGTTAGCTCCCAGCGGCTCTGCCTTTTAAATGGCATCAAGAGCCACCAGGATCTTAATACATTTAAAAAGCAGTATCTGGGACTACGCACGAGCCAGGAATCAGGACCAGTCCACCTGCTATGCCTTTGCCTCCTCTGCCCCCCCATGAAGTTGGTGCTGTGAGGAACCAACTTTAAGCCAGCTCCCCCCAGCACCAGCTCCTTCTCCCTGCTCCCCTATCAGAGAGAGGCAGCAAGGAGGTGGGGAGCAACTAGTCGCTTACATACCTAGTCCCAATACTAAACAGTAACAAAACAGGTTTTAAACTATAGAGTTCAGGAGTACAACATAAGCATGCACAATTAATTGTGTACCCATACCTTGTCATTTTTGGTTGCCTCAGGCCTATTTAAACTGTTTAGATGACAGCACTGCACTTCTTTTCCACTTTTGTATTCCCAAAGCCTGAGAGTACAATCCTGAATAAATTCAAATGGACAGGGTGATTAACAACACAATCACCAGCACACAAATGCTAGTCATAGTCTGCAGAAGCTAGCTAAAATCATACTTCCCATGGTTCATGCATGAGATTCTAAACCTTCAAACACTTGTTAAATATTCTCAGATTGCAAATTAGGCATTTTAATTAATTCATAATTTAGCTCAATTCTAAGTTATTCAATCATACAAGTTATTTTTCCTTTGTAGTGGAAATTAAGTTGCTGGATGAGTGGATTTTGAGAGTCTTGTAAATAGCACAACAGTAAATGTGCTATGCACTCACCATCTTAATGATGCTTCTCTTTAGTGCTCTTTCCCAATACAGTGAAGGAGAAAACTAAATTAAATAAGGGCTATCTATGAGATTAAACTCTGTTCTGGGAAATATCACTGAAGCTCCCTAAGCATGTAATAAAGCCAAGGACAGTACTAACACTAAAGTTGCTCGGAGAGGTACTGCGTGGGAACAAAATACAGGAGCTTTGGGCATGCAATAGGAAGAAATCAAATCAAAAGATACAACAGTTACCACAATATTGCAGACTTCTGTTCTAGAATGTATTTTTCCCTCGCGTGGTTCCATTAGTATTAGTTATACTAGAAGCTTAGGATGCTTACTAGTCATGTGAACAGGTAACCGGTTAACTGATTACCCAGTAAGCATCACCATTACTGGGTGGTGTTTACTGGGTACCAGTTAATGGTGTCCGGGAGCAGCACCTCACCCGTTGTGTTAAACACTTAACTAATTGGTATTTTACTTGTCTACTGCACACACATAATAGAGAATATTATCTTCTCTCTTTGGGAGCAGCGGGGATCATGACCAATTGCTCATTTTCTGGATCTGGAGTTGTCATGTGCTACTGATAAAACAGCTCTTGCTTTGTCTACAACCATACAATTCAGAAATTGTTGCAAGGAGAAAAAGATTTAAGACTTAAAACACATTAGTTCATCTTAAATGCTCTAAAGAAAAATATCTGGGGATCTAGTGCTTATTAAATGTCAGAAGGACGTTAACTATCAAGACTGGCTGGCCCACCCAATGTTTAATCTATCTCAATAGACCTTTTATAATTAATTTGTCTTTGCTTTGAAGCAACAGTTAATCTTGAAGAAAAGGTGGATGAGAACTCTGTGATTTCCCCGTCCCAAAGAACTATAAACAATGTGAAAAGAAGAATGCAAAGGTTAAGTTACCCTACATCCTTATAGAAAGAAGCCATAGGGGAAAAAACCCTTGAGTGCAGAAACTGAAAACAAAAATACAGTACTTTTCTTATGCATCTCTATAAAGAATAAAATGGAAGGAAGAAGATACTGTAATTTAGCGCTTGAGAATACAAAGTCCTACAGAGTATAGGAAATAGGGCCAGCTAACCATAACTGCAACCAACTTCACATAGGCCAATATTTCCTTCGCTCCAAACTTCAGTCCTACACTGATCATTACACCATTCACAGTATTCAGTAACTTGCAGAATATTCCAGATATTTCTGAATTAGTAGAGTTCCGCTTTTAATTTTTAAAAAACTATATGGTATAAGTGCCTCCATTATTTATATAAATGTCAATTTCCGTTCTTGTCTGGGGACTAAGAACTAATTTTTTTTCCCTAATAAGCAATTGGCATTGATGTAAACTGAGATCAGAGCACTGCTTTCTTGCTAACATCAGAAAAATCAAACTCCGAGTAGAACGTTGGTGGGAATGGAATTGAAGTGAAAGGCTCCCACCTCTACAGAAAACAAGTCTTTGCAAAATACCCAGAAAACTGGGAAGTCTGACTCATCTGAGGCACTCGATTTTCAAAGGATCAAAATACATACCCCAGAAGCTGAAAGCATAAGATCTGGAAAGTTTGGTATTACAAATATTCTGCTTACAAACCTAAAGGAAAAGATAAGAGTTCAACATTTATGTGTAGAGTGTCAGTGTAAACAGAGTACAATATAATAGTAAGAGCATATTTTACGGTTATACTGTCAACTGCTACATATATTTTAAGAAGGCAATATAAAGACATAAGTTGCAGGGGGGAAAAGGTAGCTTTTCCCCTCAAACTAACTGGAAGACATAATACAATCATGAAGTCCCTAACAAACAGTCCTGGAAAGATATTCCACATAATACAACAAGTGCTCCCTTTATTATATTCTAGGAATTCTACTGGTCCCCTTCTGATTGGGGAAGATAGTGCTGTTGTATGAATGTGTAATCATTTATATAAGAATATGCACACACAATTAGATCTGTATCATGCTCGTGGCTCAATTATAAATATAAAATAAATTTTAAACACCCACAACACCTCACATACATCAATGCAGATTTTGTTTTCAGTTAGTGGATCTCCCCACAGCATATGGAGACCATCCAAACACCATCTACTCAATGTTAGGGATGAGTTCTTTCTATGATTAGTTGCATCCAGCTGGGAATCTCAGTAATATTAAAGAGCTTAAAATACTGCAACTTCCACCATGATATCCCTTATGGTTCTTAAAAAAAACACAAAACTTTCAAAATTCGACACTAACCCAGGAACCATGTGCACCAACACAAAATGCTGGTGTCAATGCACTGCACGGGTTAGAACATACATCTGAGTTTTGGTTTTGGTTTTTTAAAAAGGAGAATGCTTGCTTCTGAAAATAAACAATTTAAAGTCAATTAGAATATCAAATGAACTTTACTTGTTACAAAGCAGTTGCTGCAGGTGCATAAAGCGTAATACGCTGCAATTTCAATTACAAAAATAAATTTAAATAAAAACATACGCCATCCAAAAACAGAACTCAAGCGAGAAACAAGCCAGTAAAATTATGAACACACTGAATCCCCAACTAATTCATTTTCAGAATTAAATAATAAATTTTTGACGTGTTTGTGCCAATTGTATTAAGTGCTTTCCCTTTGTGGAACTACTAATGAGTTGTTTGTCCAGGCACAATAATCCACTTAAAGGCAATGTCTTTCTTCAACATCAAAACTCTATGTTCATTAAATATACAACTGTTAATACAATAAGCAGAGATCAAACACAGCAATGTAAATACACAAAAGAAGTCTTGAGTTCAAAGGCTATTTAGATCTTTGACATCAATTTAAATATTATGCAGCTTCTACAGAATGTCTAACATCCATGCAAATAAATTCTTGGCAGTCAAAAGTTATATTACCATTAGTATTAATAATATATTTAAGTATCTTATTTAACTGTATTCTTAGCACTGTATTCAAACTTTTCAGTAGTTAAATTAAACTGCATTAAGGGGACGACAGCATATCCAATAGATAGAGCACCACTCCCCTGACTCTCCTTTTAACTCCTGTTCCTGATAATGTGCATTGATACTCCATTGCATGTGAACAGGAACAAGTGAAGAAATATCTGAAAGAGCATGTATGTCTCCAAGTCCCACAGCCAGACAAGCAGAAATGTGTTTTATGTACAGTGCTGTACTATGCAGAGACTAGAGATGTAAGCAAGTAGTCGACAGTCCCACAGCCAGACAAGCAGAAGCATGTTTATGTACAATGCTATGCAGAGGTTAGGGATGTGTGCGAGTAGTTGACTACTTGCTTCCCCACGCCCCAGCTGCCTAGGCTTATCAGTTAATCTAGTTGACTACTTGCATTCCCCAGGGATGACAGGGGGATCCCTGGGAGTGGGGCTGAACTGTACTGGCTCAGAATTCATGCAGTTAGTCGACTATTCTATTACCTGATGGCTAACATCCCTAGCAGAGGCATTTCTCTAGTGCTCTTTGTATTATGTCTATCAAGGCCAGAATAATGAAGAACCTCTACTGACCATGATATACTAATGTCAGAACAAATCTCAATGGGACGGCAGTGTCTTTTGTGGGAGCCTTTGAAATACCACTGCAATTTCCTGCATTTCAGAAGATTTTCCATAAAATCTGTTAGGTATTTGTTTTCCCTCCCAATTGGAAAGGGGATGCTGGGGAAGGAAGGACAAGTCTTCCTATAAACTAGAGAAGGTAATAGGGGAACAGAGTATCCTAGCTGGAAATCACGTATCTAATGCTACTGTTGCAACTAGTGCCATATAAATCTTTTCAACCATGAACTACTTTCTTCTGCTGCTCTTCTTCAGGTATCTATGACTTGGCAAGTCTCACACCTCAACACTCAAAGAGAAGAGCAGGGAAAGGAAAGAAAAGAGCACTCTCCTTCTGCTTTTAAACAGGTGAGATGGAGGTGGGCTCCCTGGAATCTCCTTCACTTTAATGCAAGGGAGATCATGGGAAAAGCACAAACTCTGCCTATATCAGTTAATCTAGTCAACTACTCGCATTCTCCCATCTTTCCCCCCCCACCCTGGATGCCTCTGTATGAGGCGGGAGCTGGCTGTGGACAGAGGGGGGTTCAGTGTGCAGACTTCCCTGGGGAGAAAGGACAACCTCAGCCCTGTCCCACCACAGCAGGTTGGGACCAGGTAAGAAGCACCTATCCTGGCTGCTGCAGCTCCAGCAGGCACAGCAGAGGAAAAAGTGCATGTTCCCTGGCTGGGGGATAGACAGATAAAAGACACTCTCTCTGAAATACATAGTATAGTAGACTTCCCAAAGGTGCCAGATTATCGGACCGAGGTGGTGCCGGATTATCGGATATACCGGACTATCAGGAGGTACTATAAGGGGGCATACACCCAACCCAACCCCCCTCCCCCTGCTCTAACCTAATTCTTGGGTCCCCGAGCCACCGATACAGCTGCGCATCTCTCTCCAGGTGCTGGGACATGTGTGCTGAGCGGCCGGCTTTGAGCATGAGCTGGCCAGGATGCTGTGTGCAACCCAATCCCCCTCCCCTCCCCTCGAGCCAAACACATCCCCTCCCTGCTGTAACCCAATCCTCCTCCTCC